CCTCAGCAACTACTATGAGCACATCAGTCACCAGAAGCTGATAGAGAGGGCCCACGCCACCGGTTTTAGCAGCGTCTTGCTGAAGGTCGTTTTAAACCAGTACAGTAGCACGAGACTGGTGGCCACCAGAGATTTGGCCCAGCCCACCCCACACGCGGCATTGCAGCTGGATGTGGTTGGGCCACGTTTTTGGTACAAGTTTACAGTTTGAGTCCCCTGGACGCCTGGACCGAAGCAAACTCCAAGGGCACGGACCTCCAGACGTTCATTGACGATTTATTCCTGGGACAGCAACACCGAGACCCCCAGGCCCTAGTACGACAATTGCAACACTCTGCGGCTAGGCTAGCAGTACTGGTTACGGAAGAGCTCGAGTGCAAGTTGGCGCTGCATAAAGCTCAGGTTATTGCTTCTACCGCCAGACTGCGAAGACAAATGAAGAAGGCCCTCGGGAAGTATGCGGGACCCCAGGATGCCCACAGTGCCACCAATCTTGGGATCGACAGTGCTGCGGGGGCTTCGAGGCTCCGAGTACGACGACGTGTAGCAAAAGCGACCCTTTACAAGCGTTTTGTTAAACATGAACGACGACGACACCGAATACGAGCGGTCAAGATAGCTGGAGGCGACACCAGAAAGCTTTGGAAGACGGGGCTCCAGCAAGCCCTTACGTATGGCACTGAGGCTGTCGGCATGGATCCCCAGGAGCTCCAGAATCTCCAGACGGAATAGTTGAAAGTAGCGGGGCCCCGATGCGCGACGAGAAGTAGATCCGCAAGTCTGGCGGCACTAGGAGACCCTACTTGGCGAGCAGGGCTAGGTCCTGCCCTGACCTGGTCGACCATGATCTGGCGAGCTGCGACGAGACCCAGCCACCCCCGAGAACTACTTGAGCTGAAAAGCCTAGCCGAGCCAATGTTTCTGAACCAGCCTAGGAACTGGGCGGCCGAGCGAGGCCCCTTTGGGGCCGCCTGTCTGTCCCTTCGACGGATAGGCTGGAGTTTTGTTTCTGTGCTGGAGGTGCAGGATGCGAATGGGTATCGGTACCCACTCACAACCTGCACTCCCAGAATGATTGCCCAGAAAATGCAAGAGGCCTGGGAGCAGGCCATCCTCAGGAAAGCCGCCAGGAAACCCGGTTACCCCCAGGAGACCCTTGACGTCAGCATCGCTCGTAAAATGTTGGCTGGGAAGACGCTGCCAAAGAAAGCCAGGCCCACCCTTCTCAGTTTTCTCACCCAGAGTATCTGGACCAATGCGCGTTTGCAGCGAGCTGGGTACGACTCTGACGGCAAGTGCCAGCGCGGGCACCCGTGCGATGACTTGCGCCACCGCCTTTTACATTGCTCGCTCAGCGCCCAGTTACGCGATACGTTCACAGCAGATGAACTTGACACGATTTCGAAGGTGACGGATCAGGCTGTAGCGTATGGTTTCCAGTTCCAACCTGAATTTGAAACAGGGGCTCCTGACGGGTTTGGCTACGAACATGCCGAGTTTTGGTGTCGAGACTCCAGCATGCAGCCTCACGAGGCCCTTGCTGGAGAGATTTGTACCGATGGATCCTGTCTCAAACCTGGAGGGCACAAAAATTATATCGTAGCTGGGTAGTCAGTGGTGGCCATCGATGGCCACGGTGACGTGTTTGCATACCTCATCGGGCGCGTGGGTAAATACCTCCCCCCTCCTCCCCTGCTGCTGAGCACTGTGCTGTGCTTGCTGCTGGTCTCAATGCACACCCACACGCCCAAATTGTTGTAGATTACCAAGGAGCCATAGACGTGCACCGAAAGGAAAGTTGCTCGCGGTCCGATTTTTACGGGGCCTTCAAGGTCCTCGGTGGCGCTTGCGCTACCCCCTTGGGCCCACGGCTAAACAAGATTAAAGCGCACGTCAATATTAACGAGCTCCCAGAGTATAGTCCCGAGTGGCGACGAGCCGAAGGCAACGACGCAGCCGATAAATATGCGAAGATCGCCGCTGCTAGAGCCTCCCAACCGAGTCAGCTTGAGACCGAGTTGCAGGAAGGCCAGAGCGATCTACTGGTCAAGTTTCTAACCTACGTTTCAGAAGCCTTGCAGTTATGGCCACCTGTAGCCCCCAAGGTTGGTGCCAAAGCTTTTGACAAACCGATGCAGAGTTTGAACCCGCCCACTGGGGCCGCGTCGGCTGGCCTCTCGTGGGGCCTGATACCTCCTCCTCCTCCGCCGAGGTCCCCCCTCGCCTCCGATATTCAGCGTCGAAAGCATCAGTGGCACCCCTGGGGGAAGAGTTTCATATGTGCAGCCTGCCGACACAGTTGCGCTACTAGTGCAGCTAAGGCCAGACGTGACCAAGAGGACTGCCCTGGCTACTGCGAGTTTCATAGTAGCCTTGCGAGCAATCCGCGAGGCCGCAATATGTATTTCTTTGGCTACGAAGACGAATGCAGTCCCTTGAGCTTGATTTTGTGCTGGACCTGTGGAGCCTTCACTGAGAGCACCAGAGGGCTAGCAGACGATTGCCCTGGAGAGCCCCCTAATCACAGTAGACGTCTGCAAAAGCAGAGAGCCGCGGAGGGTAGACATCCCAAGGGGGCCGCGAATTCACCAATTGTTTTGCATTCATCGATCCCTCTGGCCCAGCTGGTGAAAGAACTGGCTGAGACGAACCCCACCGACCTCGAGATAGGTAATCCGAGCGGGGGAAGTGCTGCCTGGGACGTTTCACGAGACGAGAGCCATTCGCCTGTCTCCGAGGTCGCCCTCGCTTGCCAGGAAAGCCCCCCAGAGGGGTAGCGGATTGCGGCCCTGGACGGCCACACCCCTCTTCAGTCTGAGCGCTGGTCCCGTCCCTCACCCCGTCTTTCGTCCATCCCCCTGTCCCCTCACGAGGTGGACAGATCCGATCTGAAAAAGCGTGTTCTGCCTCTGGTGGCAGAAAGCCGGGGGGGGTCACCGGGGGTGCCCAACCCGCCCTCCCCCCCTTCGAAAACCAGGAGGGGTCATTACCGGTTCGAACCCCGCCCTCCAACCCCCTGGCTTGGCCTGGTCCATCATGAATTGGGGGGGGGTCAATCGTCACTACGGGGGTTCGAACCGTTCCCCCCTCCTCGCCGCCGGCAAACGACTCTGGCTCCTCGGGACGGTGGGACAGTGGTGGGGGCGGTGGTGCTGGGGACAGTGGCGTGGGGACAGTGGGACAGTGGTGGGGACAGTGGTGAGGGCAGTGGTGAGGACGCTGATGGGACAATGGGACAATGGTATAGTGGGGACAGTGGTGGGACAGTGGTGGGAACAGTGGGACAGCGGTGGGGGCAGTGGGGACATTGGAACGGTGCTGGGGACAGTAGGACAGCGGCGGGGGACATTGGGGAGAGTGGGACCGTGGTGGGGACACTGGTGGGGGCAGTGGGGGCAGTGCGACAGTGGTGGGGGCACTGGCGGGGACAGTGGGGACACTGGGTGGTGGGAACAGTGGGGACAGTGGGACAATGGTGGGGACGGTGGTGGTGGGGACAGTGGTGTGGGCGGTGGTGAGGACGGTGGTGGGGACCCAGGAGTTGTGTGCCGGCGGCGAAAGGTCTGGGGGGGGGAGGTCGAACTTGTAGTGATCCCTTTCGGTTTTCTGGAGGGGGTTGGGGCGGGGGTTCGAACCAGTAGTGACCCCCCCCGATTTTCCGGAGGGGGAGGGGTTGGGGGGGGGGCCGGGGGGCCGGGGGGGGGGAGGAGGGGGGTTCGAGCAGGGGGGGGAATTTTCCACTGCAGAGCGGCGGTGGATCACGCTCCCTCTCAGGTCTCGAGTCCAGAGATGAACTCAGAGCGACATGCACACGGAAGCGCACTGTGTTCTAACGTATGCAGTTGCCCCGTATTTGCACATTCACAAGAATGTAATTGGTGGCCAGAGTTCCATGGACTTAAGCGGCATTTGCTGCCGCGGCGGCTCTGAGCCAAATCGAGGCTACGGATACGCAAGCTGAAGACAACTTGCAAATTACCAGACATATGCAACTACGCTCCTGAATGGAAGAGACATGCTCGCCGACGGGGCCTGGACAGAAACGGAGAATACATCACAATCGTGAGTTGGCCCTGAGTGTCCGTGCAGATGTTGAGTGCCCCTACTCCGTTCGTCCCCTTGTCCCTCCTCATCACCATCACCATCATCATCATCATCATCATCATCAGCATCAGCATCAGCATCATCATCATCATTCGTACTTCATCTGATTCGTCTGTCCAGCGACTTCCACCAACTCGACATCGGCCTCCGCGACACAGAGGACGACTAAGCTTGAGGCACCAGGCTCGTAAGAGCGAGGCGGACCTGGTGAAGCCACGAGCCCTTCCTCCGTCTCCTCCAGTCGCCGCCCTGGTTCGGGGGACCCGCGCTAGCGCACGGGGTGCGGCGTGGGCCCCTATTCGGACGGGACGGCTGCCAGGCGCGCCGACCAATGGCCGCCATGCATCGCCATGAAACAAACAGGTCCTGAGGGAAACGGGTCCTGGAGGTTTGTCGCCCGATCGTCCGAAGGGCTTCGGAGTGCAAGCACACGCTGGCGCATCACGCGTTCAGAGGAGCATCGACGTCGCCAGCAGCCACGTGCGAAATGTCCACTGACGCAGCCAGCCGACCCTCCAGCTCCATCACGGCTTCCTCTTCTCCTGGGGGCCTGCGTGCGCGACGCCATTTCGCCCCGCCGTCGCTTCTTCTGCGCCTGGTGGGCACCTGGCGTCACACTCTGCGGCGGCGGCGTCGACGCGCTCCACGAGCCCCAAGCCGGCGGTGCCGCCGCCGTTGCCGCTCCGCGGTCGTTGCCTCCTCCTCCTCCTCCTCCTCCTCCTCCTCCTCCTGCTGCTCCTGCTCCTGCTCCTCCTCCTCCTCCTCCTCCTCCTCCTCCTCCTCCTCCTCCTCCTCCTCCTCCTCCCCCTCCTCCCCCTCCTCCACCGTCCCTCGTCTGTTTCTCCTCCGTCCTTCCTCCGCCGCCGCCGCCGACGACGAGGAGGAGAGAGAGAGAGGTCGCCATGCTGCGGGGCGAGGACTCGGAGGGCGACGAGGGCGCCGGCCACTGACGGGGAGGGCGCGCCAGCCAGCCCCTGCGCCGTCGCCCCGGGGGGGAGTCGGAGGAGGAGCACCCATACCAGGGCTCGGTCCGACTCCTCCGATTCGATTCGGTTCGATCCGATGTCGATGGCTTCCGATTCCGATTCGATTCGGCACGGGGATTCCGATCCGGATCGCGATTTCTCGATGGCGGTTTTCACTGGCCTGCGGGTTTCCCCCGATTCGTTCCTTCCCGACTTCGCTGCCGATTTCCGTCGATCCGATTCATTTCGATCGTCAATCCGACTTAATTGCCGATTCGATTCTGGAATCGCTTGCGTGCTCGAAGGAAAGCAAGCATGGATTGAGGCGCGTGGATGAGCGACGGGTCTCGCTTCCCTGCAGAAGCGGCGCGTTCCGTCGCCGAACGAGGCGGCAGTGGCTTCATGTTTTCGGGCGTACATTCCCGGTCCGTGGATCTGGCGCCCACGCGCCAGACCCACGCCCTCCCTGATCCGTGTCAGCGTGTGCCCTACACCTTAGGCGATGCTTAAGAAAACCTAAGTTTTCGGCCAGAGTTTCGATTATTCTTAACGTTTCAATGTCAATCTTAAGACTTTAGTAGAACTGTTGGGTTTTTATTCAAGTTCTGAGACTATGAATTTCTTCACCCATGATTTCTTAAGCATTTCGCAGGGTGTACATTGGCCCGCCCGCTGTCAGGAAGTCACGACGGGCCGTTGGTCCGCCCACTTTTGAGGAGCATGTGAAAAAGCCGCCCGTCCATGTCTGACAACATCTGGCCCTCGGGCATTCACCGGGCCTGCCGACCGTCAGAGACGGTGCGGAGTGAAAAAGGCCAGTCCGGGAGAAGGGGTCCAGGCCCCCGGGGGCCCCCTTTGGGACAACGCGTCGCGTGGTCGCGGACGTCTGAGGTCGTCGCGTCGTGAAAAGGTCGCGGCGGCGGGCGTTGGGCAATTTTCTGCCTCCTGGCGCCCTCGCCCACGGGAAAAGCTGTTCCGCTGGCTGGTTCTCGGGAAGGGAGGAGGGGTCGGGACCTTTGACGTGTGGGGGTCCGCGCTGAGAAGAAGCACGATGTCGGAGTTATGGGTCCTCTCGCTGTGGAAAAGTCAAGGCTGGTGGGTGGTGTTTGACAATGTTGCCGCTTGCCGGGGCCCTCGAGGCCCTTGGTCGCTGGATGAGAAGCTGGTCCCAGGCAAGAGATTCAGACCTCAGAGGAACCACGCTGTCGAACAATCACGACGTTGGAAATACGGGTGGGAGGAGGAGGAGGAGGAGGAGGAGGAGGAGGGAAGAGGGAAGAGGGAAGAGGGGGGAGGAGGAAGAGGGAGGAGGGAGGAGGGAAGAGGGAGGAGGGAGGAGGGAAGAGGGAGGAGGGAAGAGAGAGGAGGGATGAGTGAGGAGGGAGGGGAGGGGAGGAGGGAGGAGGAAGGGAGGGAGGAGAGAGGAGGGAGGAGGGAGGAGGGAGGAGGGAGGAGGGAGGGAGGGAGGAGGAAGGAGGAGGAGGAGGAGGAGGGAGGGAGGAGGAGAAGGAGGAGGAGGGACGCGGAGGAGGGACGCGGAGGAGGGAGTGTGGGTGAGTGGCCACGCTGCGAGAAAGGATCACGACATCGGAAGCTTGGGAAGGACGATGAGGATGGGTAGGTCCTCCTTGTCCTCTTCCTCGTCCCCCCATCAGCTTCCTCCCTCCCAGTCCTTGCCCACCTAATCCTTCCCATCCTCGTGGTCCCCTTTCTCCTGTTCCTTCCCCCCTGCTCCCTGGGAGGAGCATTGGGGGGGGGGGGAACCAGGGAGGGAGGAGGAGGAGGAGGAGGAGGAGGAGGAGGCGTGGAGGAACGGGAGACGAAGAAAGGGAGGGGGAGGCGGAGGAGGAGGAGGAGAAGCAGGAGGCTTGGGGAAGGTCAGCAGGGCGACGGCAGAGCAGCACGACAGCACCCCGTGAATTCGGCCGCGTCGGCAGGATCGAGGCCTCTGCCTCGTTCCGCACGCGCTCCTGCGAGCCCGCAGCCGCCTCCGCGGTGGCGGCCATCGAGCCCCACGCGCGGCACGCGCGATCGGCGGCGCAGCTGGCGGGGGGAGCCGGGGCCGCGCGACTAGGCGCGCGAGGTAGGGTGGGCGCTTCGACCGTAGTCGTGGAGCGCGAAAGGCGGGCCATCGTCGCCCTGGCCCTCCTCCACGCCCCCGCTCTGCCCGTGCGCGTCCTCCTCCTGCCGTCAGCATATCCTGTGTCTGTTCGGCTGGGGCCTGGGGGTGAGGAGGCAGGCGCATCAGGGTCAGCAACCGCTGAGCCACAGTCCGGAACTTGGCTTCGCGTGTGGCGCCGCCGGTTCTGGCCCACTGCGCCTGAGCGCGACACGATGGCCACTTCCTGGTCCCGAGCGTCAACGTCCTGAGCCCTTCCCAGCCTCTCACCTCTCGGAACGGAGCGACACGCTATCCACTCGCAGGGCATGGCGTGTTGCCAGGGCCGCCGCCGCGACACGCCAAGCAGATGTTCCCGACCGTATGCTGTTCGCTCGCCGTCGCCTTCTGCAGGTGTCACGTCATGGAGGGAAGAGAGAGAGAGAGAGAGAGAAAAAAAAAAAAAGGGGCTCGGTCGTTCCTTGGGTGCGCATTTAGAGGAGGAGGAGGAGGAGGAGGAGGAGGAGGAGGAGGAGGAGGAGAGAGAGAGAGAGAGACAGAGGTCGGCGCTCCCGCTGGGCGGCTGCGCGTCAGCCCCCGCCGCTGCTCGCTCCCCGTGCGCTCCCTGCTCGGCGGCCCGCGTGCTCCGCCGGCGGGAGCTGGCGCTCTCCTTGGGGGGGGGGCCTCCGGCGGCAGTCGGAAGGGCCGACCTGCGGTCCGCTGACGTCCGCGAGGGGAGGCTCGTCCATCGACCGCCGCGGCACCTCGGAGCCTCCCGCGGCCCTCTGCCGGTGCCTCGGCCCAGCCCCCGGCGCTCGCCGGCCGCGGATGTCGCCGGCGTGGTGCGACAGGTCGGGCGGGCTCGGCCTTCCTCGCTTGTTGTACTCGTTTCGCCTCCTCCTCGTTCTTCCCTCCTCCTCCTCCTCCTCATCCTACTCCTTCTCCTCCTCCTCCTACTCCTACTCCTACTCCTACTCCTACTCCTCGTTCCTCCTCCTTATCCTCCTCCTTCTCCTCCGTTCTTTTTCCTTATACATTAATCCTCCCTGTCGCACCCCGAGGCTGGTCGAAAGGACGGGCCAGGCGTGTCGCTTGAGATGTCCTCACCGTTCATGCTTTTAAAGATTTCCAAGATGAAAACAGTTTCACACATTGAGGGCGGGTCGCTTCCAAAATGTGGCTCTCGCCTTAGCGCCGCGCACATTCGCTTTAAACATCTGCAAGGCTTTAACGGATTGAGGGCGGGCGATGTTCAAAATGCGGCTCTCGCTTTGGCACCGCGCACATTCGTTTTAAACATCTGCAAGGCTTTGACGGATGGAGGGCGGGCGGTTTTCAAAATGTGGTTCTCGCTTTAACGCCGCGCACATTCGTTTCAAACATTTGCAAGGCTTTGGCGTATTGAGGGCGGTTCGTTTTCAAAATGTGGTGTTCGCCTCAGCGCCGCGCACATTCGTTACAGATATTGGTAAGAGTTCCACGGATTCCCATGGTTAGCGTACCAGAAATTGTGTTTTGGAAAGACTCAGGACTGTGAGGGTGCAACAGTTAAGTTGATTTGTGGTGCTGATTCCCGGGAATGGTGTTCTGACGCGATTCAAGATCGTGAAGACGCAACAGTCAAGTTGATCCGTAGCGTTGGAGTCACGAGAATGGTTTTTGGCATGCTTCAGGATCTTCAAACGGTTGTCTCCAAACGAGACAGCTTCCTCAGTGGAAATGAACCTTTATTGGGGCCTATGAAGAGGGAGCTTGGAGGGGGGGTTACTCCAACATCGTTGATGCGTCTTGGGTTTACACTGGCTCTCCTCCTCCTCCTCCTCGTTGCTCCTCCTCCTCCTCCTCGTTGCTCCTCCTCCTCCTCCTGCTGCTCCTCATCCTCCTCCTCCGCCTCATCCTTCTACAATCACACACACACACTATGAATACTACTCTCCTCTCTCCCCTGGTGGCGTCTGGGAAATATTCGGCCCCCTCCGCGCACTGATTTTTTACACATGATTCCCGGGAGTTGGGTTTTCACTTGGACGATTGTTTTCAAAATGTTGCTGTCGCTGAGGCGCTGACTTCATTTTCGGGCTACCGCTTGTTTCGAATCGTGTTTCCGCTGCAGCGCTGGCCTCATTTCCGCGCTTCCGCTCGTTCCGAGTCGTGCTCCCGCTGCAGCGGTGGCGTCATCATTTCCAGTGCCATGCCACGGCATGGTGTTCGGTTCGTTCAAAAATGCCCCCAAATCTAGAAAATGCTCCCCGAAACAACCATCGGAAGTGGTTGCAGAATCCCCCCCCACTTTGGGGCGTCGCCACGCCATGCTATGATATCAGGCTGCGCGTCCTCCGAATCGTGCTCCCGCCGCAGCGCTGGCCTCATTTCCGCGCTTCCGCTCGTTCCGAGTCGTGCTCCCGCTGCATCGTTGGCGTCATTATTTCCAGTGCCCTGCCACGGCATGGTTTTCGGTCCTGCCAAATAAACCCCTAAATCTAGAAAATGCTCACCGAAACAACCATCGGAAGTGATTACACATTCGGTGTCGATTCGTTGATCTTTTGGGCCGCATCCCCCCCCCACCACTTTGGGGCGTCGCATCGCCGTGCTATGTCAAGCCACGCGTTGATATTCAACACCATGCTATGCCATGTGATGCTATGCCCTGCTACGACATCCGACTGTGCGAATAGAGAGGAGACCTACGCCATGGTAAGGGATGGGAGGGGTAGGACGTCAGATTTGACGGGAGCGCACCTAGCTTGCCTCCTCGCTCTCCCACTCCTCCTTTTTCTCCTCCTCCTCCTTTTTCCTCATCATCATCATCATCATCATCATCATCATCATCATCATCATCATCATCATCATCATCATCATCATCATCATCATCATCACCCCTGTT